CCAGCATATAAGCAGCTCTGTTTCACTAACTCTTTGCCAGATTGTTGTTACAGCATGCACTACTCTCCAGCATTTATCTTCGGTCTGACTTCCTGGAATCGACTCTGCCGGTTTTTGACGACGTCCTCTCGTTCCTACCCCAGTAAACCTGATCGCCTACTGCCTCTGACTCTGAGTTCTACCTGTGTGCTTCCTGGTTCCCGTCTGCCTTCTTCCAGGCCCCTGTCCAAGCCACCCGTCTTGCCACTCCACTGCCTGTCTGTGTGGATACAACCCAGCCTGCCACGCCTCGAGCCAACCTGCCCCGGTGGAGAACATTCATTCCCACTGATTGTGTTGCTTTTGGGTCCTGCCACTCCCCCTGTCAGTACAGTCTGGCCAGAAATTGACCCAGCATGCAATCTGACTCCCCTGAGCCGACTGGAGAAGATTGAAGCTGTCCTCCAGCACCATGAGGCTGTGATGTCTGCTGCTGCCTCTGACATCAGGCAGTCCTTCGCGGTATTAGCCGACCAACTGCAGCAGCTGACGGCTATGGTGGCTCAACCCACTGCCCCTCCTGCACCTGTACCAGCTCCTGACCCTGTGCTACCCATGGGGGCCCCAGAACGTCAAGTTGAAACCCCTGAGTGATATGACGGAGACCCAGAGACCTGCGGCCCGTTTCTGTTCGACACCCTGCTGTTTTCCCTCCAGCCCGGTACTTTCACTTCTGAACAGGCGAAGATGGCCTTCACCAAAAACCACTTCACGGGCCGGGCTTGTCTGTGGCGCACCGCTGAGTGGGAGAGACAGTCCCCAGCCTGCGTCTCCTTCCAGAGCTTTGCAGGGGAGCTACGTAAGGTCTTCAACCTGGGGGTCTCCAGTTCAGAGGTTGCTCAAGGACTAGTAACCGTGAAACAAGGGAGCAGGACGGTTGCTGACTACTCCATGGATTTCAGCACCAGAGCCAGTCGGAGCCATTGGAACCCTGCAGCTCAGGTGGACGCCTTCCTCCATGACCTGGCGGACTACCTCAAGGACGAGCTGGTCACGTGTGAGGTTCCCCCCGCACGAGATGAAACTATTGAGCTAGTCACCAGCATTGACCTCCGCATTCAGGCCCGCAGGCGGGAGAGACGTCAGGGGGCTCTCCACTGCCAGATGCCAGCCTGGTCCAGAGCAGGTCCCACCCAATTGTCCACCTTGCCTTTTCCACAGATGTGCAGATTCAAACCTGTGCAGCTGGACCGCACCCCCCTCAGCCCAGAAGAACGGGATCATCGACATCGCCTGAACCTGTGCCTGTACTGTGCTAAGGAGGGTCATTTCGTGTCAATCTGTCCAGTAAAAGCCAAGGCTCACTCGTAGCCAGGGAGGTGCGGGTGACCTTAACAACACTACCTCCCTACAACCACAGACTGTATCTCCAAGCCCGGCTTCTCCTTCCTGATGGTCCCCTCACCTTGGCTGCCCTGGTGGTCTCTGGTGCTAATACCAGCCTCATGAGTGAGGATTTGGCCCAGCAGTTGGGGCACGGTCGAGTTCCGCTGCCTCATCTGGTCTCCGCCTGGGCTTTAGACGACCACGGACTGGGTACCATTACCCACCAGACCATCCCGGTTCCCATGGTCCTGTCTGGCAATCATCACAAGACCATCCAGTTCCATTTCCTGAACTCTCCTGGCCTGCCACTCATCCTGGGCTACCCTTAGCTTCGGCGACATAACCCCCACATCGACTGGGAGTCCGGTTTCATCCGTGAGTGGGGAACATCCTGCCACCTCACCTGCCTCAAGCATTCCTCTTTACTGTTCCACTGTCCCACCACCAGTTCTTCACCTGATGTCTCCGGGGTACCTTCTGAATACCATGACCTCCAGCAGGTGTTCAGCAAGGCCAAGGCCACCTCTCTGCCCCCACATTGGCCCTACGACTGCGCCATAGAACTCCTGCCTAGCACCTCGCCCCCAAGAGGTCACCTGTACTCTCTGTCTGCACCTGAAAGGAAGGCCATGGAGACTTTCATCAAAGACTCCCTAGCTGCAGGCATCATCTGCCCCTCCTCGTCTCCTGCTGGGGCGGGCTTCCTCTTTGTGGAGAAGAAGGATAAGACCTTAAGACCCTGCATTGACTATTAGGGCCTAAACCACATCACAGTCAAGATCCGCTATCCCTTGCCGCTTATCTCTTCTGCCTTTGAACTGCTTCAGGGGGCCACCATCTTTACCAGGCTTGATCTCCGTAATGCCTATCATCTGGTTCGCATCAGAGAGGGGGACAAATGGAAGATGGCATTCAACAGTCCTGCAGGGACTACGAGTACCAGACCTTTCGGTCTCACCAACGCTCCGGCTGTCTTCCAAGCCCTTGTCAATGACGTACTCCGTGACATGCTCAACCACTTTGTCTTTGTTTACTTGGATGACCTCCTCATCTTCTTGAAGACCAGGAAGGAGCACGTTCATCATGTCCAATCTGTGCTCCAGCGCCTCTTTGAGAACTCCCTGTCTGTTAAGGCTGAAAGATGCGAATTCCATGCCTCATCTATCTCATTCCTGGGGTACATCGTGGCCACAGGAAGCATCTGGATAGACTCGGCGAAGGTCTCTGCAGTTACCTCCTGGCCTGCTCCTGACTCCTGCAAACAACTGCAATGCTTCCTGTGGTTTGTCAATTTCTATCGCTACTTCATTCGCAACTACTTCTGTAGCCGCCCCTCTTACTGCCCTCACCAGCTCCAAGCTGCCCTTCCAGTGGTCCCCTGCTGCTGACGAGGCCTTCCAGAACCTGAGGACCAGATTCACCTCTGCCCCTATCCTCCAGATGCCAGACCCAGATCGCCAGTTTGTGGTGGAGGTGGACGCCTCGGACGTGGGGGTAGGTGCTGTCCTGTCCCAGAGATCCGCCTCTGACCACAAGCTTCACCCCTGTGCCTGTCTTCTGCCGAGAGGAACTACGACATCGGGAATAGGGAGCTGTTGGCAGTGAAGCTGGTGCTAAAGGAATGGCGGCATTGGTTGGAGGGCGCTAAGGAACCCTTCTTGGTGTGGACCGACCACAAGAACTTTGAGTACATCCGTACTGCCAAGAGGCTGAACTCCCGCCAGGCCCGCTGGTTCCTCTTCTTCACTCATTTCAACTCAACTCTCTCCTACTGCCCGGGGTCCCGCAACGCTAAGCCTGATGCCCTGTCCAGGCAGTCTCGACAGAAGATTCCACTGAGGGGCCTGCTTCCATCCTTCCCTCCCCCTGTGTTGTAGCCGTCCTGTCCTGGGACATTGAAGAGAGAGTGAGGGCCGTCACTGAGGGTCAACCTGGTCCCAGCACCTGTCCCCCCAACTGTCTGTACGTCCCTGAAGCCCTGAGGTCAGAGGTTCTGCAGTGAGTCCATGCCTCCAAGTTCACCTGCCACCCTGGTGCCCAACGAATCTGAGACATCCTCCTCCAACACTTCTGGTGGCCCACTCTGGAGGAAGACACCCACAATTTTGTTAAGGCGTGCCCCATCTGCAACCAGCACAAGGCTTTCCATCAGGCTCCTGCTGGACTCCACCAGCCCCTTCCTGTCCCACATCGACCTTGGTCCCACATATCCTTGAACTTTGTCACGAGCATTCCACCCTCTGACGGTAACACAGTCATCCTCACGGTGGTTGACCAATTCCGCAAGATGGCTCACTTCGTCCCTCTGCCTAAGCTGCCGTCAGCTAAGGAGACTGCGCAACTGGTCCTGTTACTTGTCTTCCACCTGCATGGCCTCCCCGTGGATGTGGTGTCCAACTGAGGTTCTCAGTTCTCCTCAGGTTCCTGGAAGAAGTTCTGTTGCCTGATGGGAGCCACTGCCAGTTTCTCTTCTGGATTCCACCCCTAGTTCAATGGGCAAACGGAGAAGATGAACCACGAGATGGAGACTGCCCTCCGCTGCATGGTGTCCCAGAACCCTTCCTCCTAGTCTAAGCAACTCCTGTGGGTGGAGAACGCCCACACTTCCCTCACCAGCTCCGCCACGGGCCTCTCTCCCTAACAGTGCATCTATGGCTATCAGCCTCCACCTTTTCCGGCCTTGGAGAGAGAGGTCTCCTGCCCATCAGCCCTAGCCCTCATCTGCCGCTGTCGCCGAACCTAGGCCCAGGCTTGCTCCGCCCTCCAGTGCGCTGTTGGGTGCTACGCCGCCTTAGCCAACTGGCGGAGTTCTCCTGCCCCAGTCTAACAGGTTGGCCAGAAGTTGTGGCTATCCACCTGAGATCTGCCTCTCCAGGTGGAATCTAAGAAGATGCCATCCAGGTTCTTCGGCCCATTCCCCATTGAGAGGATCCTCAGTCCGACGGCGGTGAGACTCAAGCTTCCTTGCTCCATGCGTGTCCAGCCCACCTTCCATGTGTCCAAGTTGAAGCCAGTCCACGAGAGTCCTCTGTCACTGGTTGTTCCACCTCCTCCTCCGCCTTGCCTGATTGATGGGGGCCCAGCCTACTCCATGCGGCGCCTGGTCCAATCCCGTCATCGTGGGAGGGGAGTTCAGTATTTGATGGACTGGGAGGGCTACGGTCCTGAGGAGAGGTTTTGGGTTCCTGCTCGCAACATTCTCGACCGGACCTCATCACCGACTTCCACCGTCACCATCCTGACCAGCCCTGTGGCACCACCGTGCCTTTGAGGAACCCCCGCCCACCGGCCCGCACCTCTTCCTGGCCTGATTGCCCTGTAGGGGATTCCCCTGCTGAGGAGCCATCAACTGACACGGACTCTGACCACTCAGCTCCTCCACAAGATCGTCAGAGGAGCCTATCAGTCGACATGGACTCCGACCACTTGGGCTCCCCTGACGATCCGGCTGAGGGAATGGATTGGTCCGGTTCAGAAGAATATTATACCTGATTGCTTTCTGCCTCTGAGTTCTGCCTGTGTGCTTCCTGGTTCCCGTCTGCCTTCTTCCAAGACCCTGTCCAAGCCACCTGTCTTGCCACGCCAGTGCCTGTTTGTGTGGATACAACTCAGTCTGCCGAGCCTTAAGCTAACCTGCTCTGGTGGCCCAGTGGTAACTCTCCTGCCTGCAGTGTGGGCGACCCAGGTTCGAAACCTGTCATCGGTGCTTGTTTCCTCAAATTACCAGAAGAGCTCCACTCAAGACCCACAAGCTCCAGATCCTGATCTATACCAAGCTACTCAGCACTGCATTCTATTTGCTTCTGCTTTGAAGTCATTAAAAGTCTGTCAACATTCATTCCCTCTGATTGTGTTGCTTTTGGGTCCTGCCACTCCCCGTGTCACAATCAGCACGTTGCCCACTGAATAGCCAATCAGAATCTTATCCGCTGTCAAAGTAAGTCATACTGTCCAATCAGTGGCTAAAAGGTTCTGACGCTATTTCTCCCCCATGTCTATCCACAGCTCATTGATTTCCATTTTTTTTTATTAGGTCCTGTTCTGGCTCACCTGGACCAAAGGTCGATGTGAACTATTGCAATCACTTGGGTTTGTCTTCCTCTGTCGCTAACATTTTTCAAAAATCTTCTCTGAAACTACTGAACAGCAGTGGGTTTCCCGATAACGTTGGATCTCAGGATTAACGGATGTTTTTAAGAGATTCTCAAGCAACGAACGTTCTCTTGTTACTTGGGTTAGTTTAGAGCGAACTAAAGAGACACTTTAGTTACGAACGTGTTTGGGAAACCCTTGTTATTTTCTGAACAATCGTAAGAGTCATTTAAAGAGGTTCTTTGCATTAGAAGTCTTTTGGGAAACCCACACCTGATCGAGACTAAAATTAGCCACAAGCATCCTTAGGAGTTATATTCCTTAAAACATCAAATATGATGATTTTTGTTGTATTTCAAGATTTCAAATGATAAAACCGTTTTTGTGAAAAGCACACACATCCATTGCCCGGGACATATCAGAGCTACACTAAAAAGGAAAAGGTGCATTATGTTGCTAACATCGTGCTGCTACATAAAGAGACGTGCAAAATCCACAGCTCAATGACTTCAGTTTTTATTGTACTGTAATGTCATTTAACAGTGATATGTCTCGGGAAATGGATGTTTGTTCTTTTCACATACACTGTTGTTTTGTTTGACTCATGTTCAAATAAGTAGCTGGTTAGCTAGCTGCTTTCTTGCAAGCTAGCGAACATTACGAACAACCGCTGTATAAAAATTGCTTCGTTTTATTTTATTTCTCAGTTTTCTGCATGAAAAGTGTGGGGAACAATTTTGGCCTGTTCAAGAAACGGGTAGCTATCGCTATCAAGTCGGTGAGTCGCTGGCAGCATAGGAGTAAGCTGGGAGAAGACTAGAAAGACATATCCTACTGTTAGCATCGCGCTGCTGCAATAGAAAGACCTGCAAAATCCATTGCTCCGATTTAGTTTTTATTGAACTGAAGCTTTGAGCATCCAGTTTGCCCTTACCAACGTGATCGCGATAGCAAACTGTTTCTTGAATTACCAATTGTTCCTTGCACTTTTTGTGCAGAAAACTGAGAAACAGTCCGTCATTAGGATCGACTCTGATATAACACAAGGTTATTAACACCTTTCTGCAGATGTAGACGCCTGCGGACATAGAGCAGCTCTTTTTATGGAAGCAGTTGCACTACTCTATCACTAGATGGCACCCCCGGATCAGTTATTGAATATTCACAAGCATGCAGAGCTGGAACACAGTCTAGAATATTGACGAGTTCACTCCTATCCCTGTTTTTCAGGAGTTGCATGAATTAAACTCCTCAGCTAAGCCTGGTGTGCAAACTGCTCAATATCCTTGCCCATAGTATCTATCCAGCAGTTTAAAAAAAGGATCTATTGCGACAGAAAAAATTGTTGTCCTCTGTTGCAACCACTTCAGTTACAGTGAGCCAACGGTATTCCAATTAGTGGTTAAGAAAAATCAGTTTTCTGAAGCAAAAAATTCAACATGGTATTGATTCTCTCACATTCTACTGTCAATTACAGTCATCACACACAAAAAATGCATAGCTCTCTACCATGGATTTACGCATAGGTTCCTCCATTGACAAATTCGGCGCTTCCTTATTTCCACCCAAGTACTGGTGTTGATAGCCAATCACTCAATTATACACTCAGGCTCTTCTGCGTAACTGCACAGTTTTAGTTCACGCCCTCGTGAAACTCCCCCGGTAACAATGTATTGATTGGCTCATTTCTTATCCAATTCCCGAGTGTTTAAACTTCCCACAGTAACTGAAACACATTTATTGGACAAACATAGAGCATACAAGCCTATGCGTATCAGCAAGGTAGGTTGTATCCGTTCACCGTTGAGCACGATTGCACAGATGAGAATGATGCGATTTATAGAAAAAAAGAGTCCCTAAAGTGTTCAGTGACATTTACAGGATTTAAATGAGGTAAGGACATGGTCAATGGGAATTATTTCAAATGAAACAGGACCACAGGGTTCCTTCTACTGGATACATCGGTCTCTGGAGGAGGGATTCAGTGAAGAAGGTTAGGCTGCTACTTTTGCTTTTTGTTTGGAATGTATACCGCATTCAACAAAATCAAATGCCGAGGTTTTTTTCCTGTTTAAAACGTGAACTGGTCATGCATTTCGGTGGATCCCCTGGTACGTTCATTGCGCTATTCTGTTGAATCTAGGGAGGCATGTATTGTTTGATCTTCCCTGAAAGTGGAATGTCTGTTCTGTTAAAATAAGGTATATTTCAGAATTCAGGTATTACTCAGTGAGTTGTACTTGTTCCTTGTAAGTGTTTAAATAAGGTTGTGAGCTTGGAAGTTGGACCTGCTAGCTTTCATTGCAGGGTAAATGTTCTGACCGTTTAATCAGCAGTTCCTTTAATGAGTATGTGTGCTGACTTGGGGGACTTAGAAGAAAAATGGACAAAACTCTAAACTTTATTATGGAGAAAAGGCATGTTTTGTCATTGGAGAGGTTACTGGTGACCACTGATGTTCAAGTGCACTGATATTGATAAATTCATGCTAAACTCAACCAGAAAATCATTAGTTCATATGAAATTTCATGCCTAAAAACTTTGTGTTAAATATATGATTATTTTATGATTTGACAGTGCACCATTTTGAGGGATCTCAGACTTTGGGGAGCCACCTGGATAGCTGTCTAATTTGGCTCATAGCAAGTAGGTAATCTAGAATGCAATGTTCAAGATGAATTATACTTGTGGTCGATGACTTTATGATCCCAGAAATGTATAGATTTAAGCCCCAGCAGTTTTTTCAATTCTAAGTATTATTTTTTTTTTCCATTTCAATGTTGAATTTTCATGAAGATTTTTTTTGCGTTTGCAGCCCTTTTTCTCTACCAAAATCATGAAAATAAACTAATACGATGGGAGCCTAAATGCTTCAAGTGTCTAGACTCAGTTCAGCCACTCCTTTCGTGTCTCTGAAGCTGCAATCTTGAATTATAAAGCCTTAAATAAGGTAACCCCCCAAATAGCCAGATTTGGCTTCTGCGCAAAAGGGTTGAGACCATTACGAACCATGCAAAAAATTCTTGACTGGTAGTTTATGGTGACCGATCTATTCTAGTCAAGTTAAATAAACTGGAAGCAAGTTTTATACAGTGGTAGTTTGCAATGTTCGCCAGCTTGCAGGAGAGTAGCTAGCTAGCTTGCTAACCAGCTAACTAATGTAACGTAAGTCAATCAAAACATGTTGGTGAAAAGCGCACACATCAATTGCTCGAGACATCACTGTTTCCACATCTGGCTATTGCCGGCAGAATGTATGATTCTAATGACATTACAGTACAATAAAAATGGAATAAATGAGCTATTGATTTCACCATAGACATGCGTGAGAAATAGCATCAGAACGTTTTGGCCACTGATTGGACAGTTTTACTTACTGTGACAATGGGTAACATTCTGACTGTCCATTCAGTGGGCAACATGCTGATTGGCTAGTCTACCCACAGTAGTGAAAATAGGGCCATAATTCGTAACTCAAGGTTTGTAAATCTGGTTTATGCTTGTAGAAAAAAGTGTTGCACGCGAAGGTAGGAAATTCGAGTGTATCTGCAACTTCACTGTCACACAGGAAGGTAGGAAATTTTCGCGCACACACAAAATTATTTCACAAGCACAAAACTTTTTTACACATGCACAAAATATTTCTACAAGTTCAAAACGTTTTTACACTTGCACAAAACTATTGACCCTAATTTGATTCCATTGTCACTAGCTAGTTAGCTTGGTAACGTTAGCTTCCTGCATATCTTTTACTGACACTGCCTGAACATGAGTGTTGTTAGATAGTCGGCTATCTAGTTAGTCTAGCCCCAAAGAATAATCCTCAGCTTTTTCTCCACTTACTAGGAACCCAAGTTAGCCAGCTAGCAGTCTTGTGCAGTTATCATGCCTTGGCATGCTAAGGTGGTGCTTGTTGGTGCTGTTCTATTTGAACTAAATGATTTCAGACTACCTACCTTGTTAGCTTGCTGACAATTGTTGCAATGTGTTTGTCTCGTTCCCATATATATCTGGCTATCTAATATACAACCCCAATTCCAAAATAGTTGGGACGAAGTGTAAATTGTGAATAACATCAAAATGCAATGACTTTCAGATCACATGAGCCAAGATGTTATTTACAATAGAACGTAGATAACATTTCAAATGTTGAAACTGAGACATTTTACATTTTCATCTACAAAATGAGCTTATTTCAAATTTTCTGGCTGCAACAGGTCTCGAAAAAGTTGGGACACAGGCAAAAAAGGGCTGAAAAAGCAATTAATATATAAGAGAATCAGCTGAAAGAACATTTAGCAAGTAGTTAAGTTAGCTGGCATCAGGTGGGTAACATGATTGGCTATAAAAGGGATGTCTTAGAGAGGCTGAGTCTCTCAGAAGTAAAGATGGCCAGAGGCTCTCCAACCAGTGAAGGCTTGTGTAAAAAAAATTGTGGAATACTTTAAAAACAACGCTCCTCAATGTCAAATTGCAGAGGCTTTGAAGGTCTCATCATGGACAGTGCATAACATCATTAAAAGATTCAGAGAAACTGGAAAAATCTCTGTGCGTAAGGGACAAGGCTGAAGACCTTTACTGGATGCCCGTGATCTTCGGGCCCTCAGACGCCACTG